ATTTTTCTCTAACCGTGTCAGATATAAAAAGTTTACAGAAAGTTTTTATTACGTTATTAAAATTACTTTCATTCATATACCAAAAAAATTCAAAATTGCATACTTTTAGGAGTATCATTGTAAGCACTCTTTGAAATAAAACAAAAAAAATTTAAAGTGTGAGTTAGTTGCGTGAGTTAAGAAAAATGATATCATTTTTTAATGGCATGGAAATTACCGTTAGCATCCTTGCCTTTATGGAAATTCAAAAAAATTTGTAGTTTCGAAGATATGAGGTGCGAAAAATTAAAATTTTAAAAATTTCGATATGCGATAACTTGAGAGGAGAGAAAACTTTTGGAAAATAACCGATTTTAGATAACGATAAATTTTAACGGCCATTTTGTTTTTATAAAATTCAAATATGGTTTGCTGCGGTAAAATAAATAAGTCAAAATGTTTCCGGCTTAACTACAATCATTACTTAAAAAATAGGATTCTTAGTGTTTCTGGATCTATAACTTTTCGGGATAGGGAGGGAGATAGGTAAGAATTTTGTTTTACGAAAATAAATTTCTAGTAAAAATCTATATACATGAGAAATTTCAGCTTTCTATGCTAAAAAGCGAAAAATGCTAAAAAATATTAAGATGTGTCAAAATTTTCTCATAAATTCCATTACGGATTCATTCATCCAGCTGATAACGTTTTCAATTGTAGTGATTTAAATGCTCCATCAAAATTTCTTCTATTTTTCTCTCCTGTTTCGAATTGTGTGTACCATAAAGAAAAAGTTTTAATTTATAATAACAAACTATTCCTGTTTTGATTTCAATTTTTATTCTTAAGTCATAGCGTAATCAAGCAGTTCTCTCTCTATCTCTGTGCATCAATCATTCATAGTGAAAAATTTATCATAAATACAAAATGTTTAATCCTGAATATGTGTACATTTGCTATTACAGTGTTGATAATTTATTATTTAACACTCTTTGATGATAAAAATTAAAAACTCAAATGTAACAGCGTTCTAACTCTTGAAATTCGTAGTATAAATCATTGAATTTAAAATAATATTATAATCAAATTCGATGCTTTAAAAGAGCAATGGCATAAAAGTAATAATATGAAAAAATCTGCAACAACAAAATATGTTAAGTAGGTCAAAAACTATTTGCTTAAGTTGAGAATTGTTTGAATATCCTACAAATCATTTTTATTTTTATTTTATTTTTTGAATTTATTATCAATAAATTAAAATGTTATATAAATTTACAAAAAGAATGAAAATCAGAAAAAAAAAAAATTATAAAAAAGTTCTATGATAAAAGTGCTTTAAAGTATTCAACTGCAAAGGACAAAATGAGAAAAACACAAATGAATGAATGAAAAGAGAAAAGAAAAAATCTGAAATCAAAAGTTTTTCCTTCAACAAATAAAATTCATTTCAAGCGATTTATTTCAATTGAAAACTTTAATCGAAATCAAAATCTTAAAAATCAACAAAGGAAAACTATAGATAAATGAAAATAACAATAATGGATTGAAAAGTAAAAAAAAAAATGAGAAAAAGGGCCAAAGTTTGTCTTGTCGAAAAGAATTTTTGCGCTAACACGAAAATGAAAAATTCAAGATGAAATTGAATTTTCCTTTTTTTTTTCAAGTTCCTTTTTTTTGCAATATTGAAAAAAATTGAAAACTTATTTATTAAATTAATCGAATTTAGTCATTTTGTTCACAAAATAAATACAAAAAAAAAAATTTGTTAAAGAGAACACCAGAGATACTCAATTCCTGAGCTTAAACAGTCCTTAAAAAACACTCAAAATATAACATTCAAGAAACCTATATTCCGAAAAGATTTTTACTGTGATCAAAAATTGAAAAATGTAAGCAAATTTTAAACAGCTACTAGTTAAATTTTAGGAAATATTGGGGCTCAACACCTAATAACAAGAACAACATCATAATTATAACATAGAATTATAAAAGAATTGTCGGCGCATGGACGTAATGACGTAGCACATTGATATTGAGATCAAAAGCTTTATTTAGAACAGCTAAATTATGCAGATTTTATTGGAAAGCCTATAATTACGGCGAATTTTAGATGAATTGTGTAATTTGTGCATAATTTTTTGGCGAATAGAATGATAAAAAAGATTTAACCCTTATGTTACACAGCAAAATCAGGTAAATTTATAAAAAAATTTTAAATTTTTTAAATACCGTAATTAGAAATATCTCAAGAAAAAAAATATTATCCTTCCTTTGACGCCTTAAAACTTTAGAATTAAAAAAAAAATTATTTGAATTTTTAAAAATTAATCTTATTCCCGTGTTTTAGTTGTTAAGCGTCTAATGTCGGAGAAAATAAAGAAATTACGATATAATATGTTAGCACAAAATTACGAAATTTTTTTACGATATGCTATTACAAAATTTCGTTGTGTTTAAGTTGTAGAAATTATGGCAGAAGTGGCAGCTCACCAAATAATTCAAATTCAATAAGAATACATTCAATTAAGGTATTGCATATTTCAATGTTATGGAATCCGGACCCTGTTCTTTACTTTGTAAATTTCACTTGAGAGACATGAGAAATAAATTTATTTATTTTTTACAGTTTGAAAACTAGTGTTTTAAATTTAATTTTTTTTTTTTTTCGTTAAATTGAAATCCTTTCTTTTTTAAAATATTTATTTTCTTTTTCGATTTTCTCTCTAGAATCTAATTGACAAAATGACACAAAGACAATAATTTTTTTAAAGAAGCACATAAAAATAAAAATTTGACAACAATTTTTAACACTTAAAAGAAAAAGTTTTATTGCGAAAATGTTTTTTTTTTCTTGTTTTGGTTGATTTAATGAGATTTTATTGGAAAATACAGAAAAAAAAAACACAAAAATAGAGATTTGACATTTTCTTTTTGATATTCGAACGACATTGCTATTTATCGAACTTGTGAAAGAATGAAAAAAATTTTTGATTTAAAAAAAATTCTCTTTTTTTGTCCTTTAATTAATTAAAAATTAAATTTGACAACCTCTTCTTTGAAATTTGAAAATTTTCGAAACCACTAATCAAACACAAGTTGGGTGTTAATAAAAACAAAACTACTAAACGGCGTATCTTTAAAAATTCTTAAATTTTCTTATTTGAAGAAATCTGAAGCCACTAAGGTGAAATAAGAAGAGATGGAGGTTGTTTTTGTAGACGAATTTTTTAATGTCATCATCCAGAATGACCGCCCGCCATTGGTAAATAGGTCTCTACCGGGCTCTGTGTAAATTACAAATGGCCGAAATGCACAATTTGCTCGAGAAGGAAGTTGTATAATCTTATTTCTAGGGGCCAGAAGTAAATTTGAGGCAGAAAAATTTTCATCTTTCTTCATAAGTTTTCGATAAAAAAAAACCTAAAATTCAAATCTCTTAAACTTTATTCACACTGGGGTCTTTCAGAACCCAAAATGACTTTAAAGCTATTTTCGGAAAAAGATACTTACCGTTGGCAGACGAATAACTTCTTATCGTAGACTAATAATAAAAAAGAAAATTTACATATATTTCTCGAATTTTTTGCCAAAATTTTAAAAGATTAATCAATAAATTAAATTCAGTTGAGCTTTACCAGACCACAGTGTGAGCATCCTGGGTTAAATTAATAATTTTATTTTAGCATTAAAATCGAATTCTTTTAATAACAATATTGCCATTCTATAACTTTCAATTTTAATTCAAGCTTTAATTATTTTCTTTAACGGGTCGAATATTATAAAAACACCTTAAATTAATTACTAACTATCGTTCTTTTATTTTAAATAAGTAATTTATGGATGCAATGTATGTACAATATCGTGTACAGAAAAAATAAAATAAGAAAAACATAACACAAAATCCCCATATATAAACTTCGATATACCCTTACATGTATCCTTTTATTCATTTTGTTTTTATGTTGTTTAAGGATTCAATTTTTATTTAATATCTACCTTAATATTATTAACGTTCCCATATTATAATTAAAATATTTTGGGTATTATACATTTTTAACGATTATATTATTAACGTTTGGATTTAATTAGTAAATTTACCTTATAAAATGTAATTGATGCTCAAGTTAAACAAGTCGGACTGTGAAAATAATTTTTTATACATTTCAAAAGGAGTTAAAAGAATAGTGAATTCATGTTAGTTAAATTTAATTTTAATAATGCTTAAAGATGTAAGATGGTGTAAATAAATTTTGTTAGGGTAACATATTGAACGCACGGCAATTTATATTTATTTTGTTATAAGATTTCTATGTCGGGGATACGAATTAGAGTAATAGGAGCTGAAGCCGTGAAATTGAAGCTGCGAAAACTAAATCAAGATATCAGGGTCAGATCTAAGTATTGGCATGTTCGAATCGAAATCGAAGACTCCCATTTTGAAAAATTTTCTGTTTGCCAAAATCGAATGCTGGTTGTTTTGTTTTTCTGGAGACGAAGATTTTTATCAAAACTATTGGTTAAGTACTAAAATTATTTAAAAATTTGATTTCAAATTTAATTAATGCCAACAATTTGACTCCAAATTTGAATTATTGATTACAGAGTACCTTCGTTTTATGTCCCTTAATATAATTTTAGTCCTGTGAAGGAATTAATTGAATATTAATTATTAAAATTAAATTAGTGTTATTTTTGCAATATTAAAATTAAAAATGAAATTTTCTTGAATATTTTATTTCAAATTACAATTAAACGAAATTACAATAAAATATTAAATATGATTGCAAAAATAAGGAATAGTAATCGATTTTGTAATCATAAAATGATTAAAAATGATTATTTTTCCTTTTCATATTTTACTTATAATTTTAATGCTTAGTTGGTACCCTCCATAATGTGAAATATTTTAAAATTTTTCAATAATGTGAAATTGTTATCAAAAATTCAAGTGATTAATTAAAAATATTCTTTAATGTGAGTGCAGTATGAGTGCAGTACCTTAAACTTTAATGTTTTCTTGTTCAATTCTCAACTTCCTTTAACAATAAAAATGATGAATATGAAAAGTTCAAAACCTAAAAAAAAAATTTTTGTATATTTTGTTCTAATTCAATATTTTTCTGATTACTTTTGCAAATGTATTCAAAGTAACTGGAATCCAACCAGCATTAATATCAAATGTTTTCTGTGATCTTTGCATAAATATTATTAAACTTTTACGAAATCTCTTATCTTTATTTACCCAAGAACATGAAAACAAAGCATTTGTAAGTTTTTCACTTTCACCTTTTAGTAAATCAGCAAAAAATGATGTAAAAAATATTTGCTGAAGTATAACAATATACATAAGAATTAAACTTGTTGCTTCAGAATTTGAATCTTCAATTTTTAAATAATATAAGGCAAATGATGCTAGAGAAAGTATTGTTGAAATATATTGTACAAACATTTGTGAACTGACCAATTTTCCAATTATATTATAATATCTAAAGAGAAAAAATTTTAATTATAAAATTCGATTAAAATTATAAAATTTTTTAATTAACCTTTGTAAAATTGTATAAAATTTAATGCATTCAATCAATTCCATATATGAATTTTTACTTGGCTTCTCCGATATTTCCTCAATTTTCATAAGGAGTACATGAAAATATCCTTTTAATATATAAAGATAAATTGGAACAAAATTTTCAACCAAAACATAAATAATACCAAACACCATCGAAAAAGAATGATGATGAAGATATGCTAAATATTTCCAATTACTTGAAGTCATCCAATTTGGATACCATGCGTTTACAATCATTTTTGTACATTTTTCACATAATATGTATACAAGTTCTTTGAAACTAAGATTCACAACAATAAGTATGAAGGTTATTTTAAAAATTTGATTACAAATTTTAAAAATTTTATTTTTTAAATATAAAATTTGAATTTCTTCTTTTATAAAATCTTTAACAAATAATAATAATTTTGTAATTTTTTTCAATTCATTCCTCAATACTAATATTGTTAGACATTTATAACAGCATGTTGAACAGGTTGCTATTACTGCCATATTTTCAAAAACTGCAGATTCATCTGCTACAATAATTGTATGCATTATAAGACTTATTATGAAATATAAAGCACAAATCAGTAGTAAAATGTGTTCAAAATAATAAATAAATTTCTTTTGTTTATTCAATTCTGATGGTGGATCAATTCCAAGAAAATAACATATTTTCCACATCCATTTTACCGAATCAACATTTTCAATTCCATCCATTTTATCTGATGTTGTCTTTAATACTGATTTTATGAAAATAAATAGAAAATTGATAGTTGCAATAATTTATTTTGCATTTATTTTAGAAATGAAAACAATTTCTGTAATTATTATTTTTAAAATAATTATTAGATACAGTAGAGAAATTGAATTTCGTGGTAGAACGGAAACTTTAGAAACCAGAAACAATAATATATTCATATTAAATTATCCGAGGATACAACTAAGCCAAGTAGACCCGTTTTGATACCGCTGGATTTTCATATTATCACCCTCACGTGAACCAGCCCGAGTTCTTTATTAACTGGTCCAGGTCCCTGACATTTATATTGGTCAGGACCGTAACTCGCAAAAATAAATGTGATCCAACGAACATCCGCTTCTCCGTGCCGAAGTTGGGCATGAACACAGAAAATAAGCCATCATCTCCTCTTTGTCCTCATCACGACAGCTCCGTTAGCGGGGCGTCGCATCTTCCTGACGTATTCGCCAATCAGAGAGTGCCCAGTTATAACTCATATTATAGCTCCAATGTTACGCCGAGGGAGAGATATCAGATCCGCTCTACTTATTTTTGTGGCTCTGAAATCATTTCAAAAGCATCGATAAGAACCTTGCAAGAACTGGACAAGAAATTTCATAAAACTTGCATAAATTCCAACTGAATTTGATTTGTAGCTAGCAATAGAACTTTATCCAATTAAAGATTATCCAATATCTACCATTTACGGATTTTTTAAAGATACGTTTGACTGTCCTTTTTTTTTTATTGATTTTTATAATTGCAATAATGAGAAAGAAATAAAGTAAATAATGCATAATTTAAATAATAATTAAATTGTTATTAAAGCTAATTATAATATTATAAAAGAAAAAAAAGAAGACATTACAAAAAATTAGGTTTGTACACAAAGAAAAATTACCACGTAATTAGTTTCTAAATGATGCAAAATATAATTTATTTAATTATTCGAATTGAATCGAAAAATAAGAAACTGAATATTTTAAATCCTTTTAAAATGGCTAATTACAACTTTAAATTATTTATGAGAAAGAAAAATCAAAATAGAGAACCACATTGCATTCCATGTAAGATTTTTATATTTTAGAAACAAACACCTGTGCAACTCTCATAGCCTTTAGAATTAATAATTTGAATTGCAACTCTTGCTTTTTTCTAAATTATTTAAATCATACTCTAGGTGCACATACGAAATCTGATTAAAAAGGTGTACAGTTTTGAATGACTCTGAATATCAAACATTAATTGTACGAATGCCAAAAATGCTTTACTTATTGCTAGTACTCAGCTATAGTTTATTTGTTATCATTTAAATATGTTTGACTAACCGAAGACAATACCGTAATCAATAAATTTAAAACTACTACACTAAGACTGTAAATGAAACATAGTTTAACATGAATTTAATTTCTGTAAATATTGTTTTTGTTAACAAAACTCAAAAATTCCAACTAATGGTCTACAATTTAATGTATAGATCTTTCCGAAAATTGTTCATTTCTTATACTTACGCGTATATTACTCCGGAAATGACATGACATTTATTTGCCATTGTAAATCTATTTTAAAGTTTAAGAAATTTTTCTTGGACAGTCTGTTCGTTTGTAAATGTGGATGTCTGTTCGTATATAAAAATAATATTGATATTATTCTCTGCAAAATTAATTGAACAATTAAAGAAAATTTTCATAAATTATTTGAACTCTGATAAATATAGACACATTCAAAATAGCTTATCCAAATAGACTTCATAATTATAACTGGAAAAGAAATTAAATTATATTATACCCAAAGATTGGCACACTATTGTAGTAACAGCAAACACACAACATTTTAAGATTAGTGAGTATCAAAGTGTTGATTCAGTAAATTCAATATAATGACCCATACTCTTGATTTAATGGTATTTTGCAACCCATGTCTAGTGGTACTGGGGGACATTAGTTAGTAGCCTAGTTTACTCACCATATTGGGCAACTTACCTGTCTATCTATCCAACATATCTGCATATCGTATACAAGTTTTATGTGTTAACATATTAAATAAGGGGGGTATTCTTCTTCATTTTCCAAGGACATTTATTTTAATTTTGATTCAAGAGATTATCGTAAGGAGTTTTAATAAAATAGAATTATTACTAGAAGGTTTCAAGAAGCTTTTAGACCAAAGTCAATTATTTGAACGTATTTAATGAATAAATATGTGCCATAATAAAGAATACAACAACAATTTTTTTTTTTAAATTCATTTATTATTATTTTTATTAATTTATTTTTATTAAATTTTTACGAGATAAGATTTAACACTAATGTAATTTTTCTTTGTATTTTGTTTTTTTTTTTTTCTTTCTGGTTTTATTTATTAATTTTAATTTTCTTATATAATTTTTGTTTTATAACCTAAAAACAAGATAATATTTCTTCCCCTTATATAAACTAGTTTTTTTTTATATTATATAATATTTTATTATATAATTATTTTTTTTTTGTTATTTTATTGAAATTTTACTTAAAATATAAAATGTGTTATTTTTTTTTTTCAACTATAGTAAATATGAAATTTCTTTTTGTTCTCTTAATTTAATAGTAAGATTTTGATCTGTTTTTTTTTTTTATCGTAAATTATTATTTATGTTATCGTAAATAATTTTTTATACATAATTATTTTTTTTTATTTATTTGCATTATATTTTATTTTACAAGTTAATACTTAAAAATTATAAAAAATTTTAATTTAAAAAATAAAAACCTGATTCTGTATAACAATAATATTATTTCACTACTCAATGAGTGAGAAGAAAATTAATAAATAATAATATCGATATAGTGAGTAGTAGACAAAACAGTAAATATAATATTGAGCAAAAATATTTTATAATACTGTTTTTCTCTCTTTCAGTAGAGAGACTCTCCCTATAATTATTTTTCCTGCATGATAATCAGTGTTTCTAAATCATGGGAAATTTCTCATTTTGAGGGTATTTTGAAGCCTTAACGGGAAAAATCCCAAAAATCGTGTTGTTATCGTTATTAATTAAATTATGTAATTGAAGAAATGCAAATTTTTTGTTTTATTAAATGATTTATTTAAGTGTAATGCTAGTATGTATGTATAAATTAAAACAACAAATTTTGAAAGGGAAATTATATGGGAAAAAATAGGAATTTTTGAAGTAGGGGTGGTAAATTGAGCAAGAAAGAGTTGGCAATATCAAATTAATAATAAAAAACTATTTTTCTTTAATAAAATAAATTTTAAATATTTTTTTTTTTTTTTTGATTTTTTATTAATTTTTTTTTCTTGTTTGTTTTGATATCACAATTTTCTTTATAACTATTTTGCTTTCCTTTTTTCTTTAATTTCTTTTTTTTAATTTATTATTTTATTTCTGTACAAATTTTAATTTTTTTAATTATTTAATAAATTTTTATTTTTACAAATATTTTGTTTGTTTCTTGTCCAAAAATTTTTTTTTTATAATTTATTACTTATAAATTAATTTAATTAATATTAAAGTATTAATAATAATTATTGTTAAATTAACAAAATTTTTCATTTATTTTTAATTTTGATTTTTTTTTTTGTTTTATAATTTTATATAATTTTTGTATGTATTTTAAAGGTTGTTTTCAGATTTTTTAATGTTTCTGGTTGTGTATCTTTTACGATATTATTATTTACAATGTTATAATAATGGGTAGGGTAACTTGCTTTCTATTACTTATTACCAATGCAACTTGTAATATTGTTTATCTTTATTATTAATTGTTATAACAGTAACAAAATGGAAATTCTTTCATACAAAATGCAGAACAGATGAATGATTACGTAATCCAAATGAACGAATCAAGGCAGAATAAATTTATTAAAAAATTTTTCTCTTCGAACTGGACTCGAACCAGTGATCGGACACTGTACCAAATGAGCTCCAGAGGTATGAAGAATATGCTAGCACAATACCTATTTATAATATGTTCTTGTGATTATAGTGCTTCGAATAAAAGGTTGTTGTGTAGCAATCTCATATAAAACAAGTACTTGGTAAACATGCAGATTATTGTGAAGTAATGTGAGGAATAATTTGTCGGTAATTTCTTCATACCATCAAATTTTGCTCATTTGGTGGAGCGTTCATCTAGTATTGTTCCGGTAATTTCTTTATACCTCTGTAATTCAGTTAGTAGAGTGTCCGGTTACTGGTTCGAGTCCAATTCGAGGAGCAAAATTTTTTTAATAAATTTTTCTATTTTGACTCGTTCCTTTGAATAAGTCATCCATCTGTTCGGAAATTGTACAGAGGAATTTCTATTGATGCTACAGTTATTTTTGTAGTGACGATTTTTGATAATTCTCTATACAATTAATTATAATTAATTATTTTTTATAAATTTATTAGTATAACATCATTACTCTTTATTAATATCGTATTTAATAATTATTATTTTAATACAATCTATTTATTTTTTTTTTTTAATATTTAATTACAAACTAATTATAATTATTATTTAATTAATAATTAATTTTTTAATACAATATTATACAAAATTATTAATTTACCTTTACATTTATATTATTTTTTTTTTTTTGGTTTTGTTGCATTTTTTTTTTTTGAGACGCACCCAAATGAAATTTAAATTTCATTTGGATTTTTATTTTACAATTAAATTATTATAAAATATGTGATTTCTTTTTTTTTGATTATTTATTGAATTTAATTTATTATTATCTACATAATATAGAAAACATATATACATACATACATAATTACATGTAGATAACTATTATATTAAATATAAAATAGGTATTATGATTTAATTAATTAATTAGTGTGAGTATTAAAATTACTCTAGTATTAAAATAAAAATTTAATAATGCTATTGTTATGACTTTGAGTTAAATAACGCAAATAATAATGACATAATAATATACTGTCATGCAAGAATTTTTGAATTGCGTTATCTACAGTTGAGTATGACAATTAAATAGTTTTTGATAATAAATAATATACTCGTATTTAGGTACTCGTATATAACAAAACTTTTATTATTGTAAAGAATTCAAAATGTGTCACAAACATTCTAACATTTACCTGTCCTTTTATTTCATTTTCTAAATTAAATATTTTGATTAATCAGCTTTTAAGGTTTCATTATTATCTATTTACATGAAAATTAAAAGAGAAAACGCCTAAACATATGCAAATATTTTTTGAAAAATAAAACAAAGAGTTGATTTTTTTTTGATTCATAGAAAGTAATGCAACAGTGTTATTTGAGAATATTATTAATTGGAAATTCTGACTCGAAAATTCTCGGGACACGAATACTAATCGAAGTCTTTACAAAAATCACATAAAACTCATTAGATGTTCGCTTTGTCTAAATTTTCGCTTTAAAGAGCAAATATTACAGCTAATCTCTCTCAGACGCAATTGTAATAATTATAACGGTAATAACTATTATTATTAATATTATTATGGCATATAAGTTGCGTGAAAGTAAGCTAAGAGTAACAGTAAAAGAAATTGAATTATCTTTTAAATCAGCTTATTTTAAATTATTAAATAGTTTTATTAATTAAATCCATAATATTGTTAAAGCTGGTTATTATAAGGAAAAAATAATATTCATAACTCTTAACTGGATTACGGTTGATAAAAATTGACTCCGCCAAAAAAACGCTTTCCCATTAATAAAAAAAAAATAAGGCGGAATTATTTTCATTTCTCTTCATATAGTGTGTAATATTTCTTGAATACGTACTCTGCAATAAAGATACTCTTGTATACCATACTCGGCCCTGCATAATTTTATCTAACATCATTATTTGTAACATAAAAAAAATTTTATATCATGGAAAAATAGCACATTATTGTGAGCATAAAAAAATATAAACCCGCATTACGTACAAGTAAAAAAAATGCATTGCAGTTATGGGTTAAACTAATATCGAATTAATAACATGACACTTTAATTAACACTTTCAAAATAATTATAATTCACATTTCCCAATCTTACCTTTGTATATTATTATTATTTTATATAATGAAGTTCACCTATAAAACAACTTAAACGCTATTGTAGTATCATTAATATTATTTTATTCTAATTAATTTAAATTTTTAACTTTTCCAATTTTTTATTTTACGTTTTCCATTTATTTTTATTATGAATACATTAATAATAATTAATTTTATATAATTATTTATTTTTTTATTTTATTTTATAACAATTTGAACATATTTCTACCTTAAAACTAAATAAATTTTATTTCGTTGATGAAATTGTATTATAAATTGTATTATTAAAACTATATATAAAAGGATTCCAATAGTGGACGTTAATCTAGAACTGTTACCATGATGAAGTTCAGCAAAACTTTCTCCTATAAAACAAAAAATCAAATATAAATAAAATTTTAATTTTATAATTAATATAAAAAACAAATTTAAAATAAATTATTTTAATATGTGAACGAAACTGAAAAGTTTCCATTATAATAATATTAATAATAAATTGAAAGTCATTGAACTTTGTATCCCTGAAGCGGGTTAACTACTAATGTAATTATTATAATGGTGATAAAAAATTTATATTAGTAATTTGAATTTATTAAATATTCATTCGAATTTTTAAAATTGGTAGTTTTATAATATGAAGATTATGTAGCAGTTGTGGAAGATCAAGTAATTTAAAGCCTTCCAGGTCGTGAAACCTCCACATCGAGTCAAATATTGAGATAGATGAATACTTTAATCTAATCTCCACCACAATATGTTCTCAAAAATGCAATAGTCTATAATGCTTAAAGCTTTTTTTCCTTATAATGTTACAAAACAAAAAAAATATAGAAAACTATTGGCTCCTAGGTCGAATATCTAGATTGGAAGATCTAGATTGGCAACATACAAAAAGGTGTTGATATATAACCAAATGATAAAACCTATATGGATGTATAGTTCGCACCTGTAGGGTAATGCCAAGCAAACACACATCAAACAAATACAAACTTTCCAGGGCAAGGTAACGTGCGCCTTTCGACTTATATGCTAGAAGGCTTGGGCAAAAAGACTGAAGCGAACAATATCTCTCGATTTATCCTAAAGCACTATGGCAGTATTTGCGTGTCATCCTTTACGAAATATAGATACAAAAGCATGATAGAGCAAAACTAATGATTAAACAGTTTGGCTAGTGCGTTTTAATAGTACACACTCATTCATAATAAAACTATTCACTAAAAATTGGCAATCTAAATTCTGAAATATCGTAATTTAGTATATTGACGAGTCAGTTAATTTTTCGATACAGAGTTACACCACAACTTGTTTGATTTCAACAAAACTTGTTTGATTTCAACAATAATATTATTGGTCTTCGCAATAATACTTGTTTGATTTAGAATCATACGTGTTTGATTTTGATTACTACATGTTTGATTTTGGTAATAACGGTTGTATATTTGTCTGAATTTTAATTCAAAACATTTTTGGTTTCAATTATATCTCTGACTTATTTTAAGAAATACTTGTTTGATTTAAGTAGTTCGCGTTCGATAACACTTGTTTATTGACTTACTTAACAGCACTATAATTATAATATTCTATTGTAAATAAATTGCATCTCTATAGATTAAAGATTTTGTGTATGAAACTAAAAAAAAAAATTATTCTAAAATTTATAATTGACTATAAAAAGTTTAAAAATTTAAAATTTATTCTAAAGTTTTATTTTTTATTCTACATGGTTTAAAAACAAAATTTTGCATTGTTTATACCATATAGAGCAATAAAACTCATTGCAGTTATCCTATAGGTACACACTTTTCTCTTTTATATTCTTACATTGTATTAAAACTTTCTATTGAACAAAAATTATGTATGAAAAAACATTTAAAAGTGACAGAATTCTCGAATGAATAAAAAACTAAATAATTTTTAACATTTTTATTGTTAATTTTCATTATTTTTGTTCAAAATATTATTCTATTCATATTAAATTGAAATTGTTTAAAAAAAATTTTTTTGAAAAATATTTTTTGTTAGAATAGATTAGTTGTTATGCATTGCTTTTTTGAAATTGTTCTATTAAAAATTTCATCTCGTTAAGTTTTAATAAAAAAAAACTGTTATATTAAAATTTTATAGTTTTTAATTTTATATGAAAAAATTTCAATATTTTAAAATAACAGAATGTAAAAGTTTTCACATTGAATAAAAACCTTAATAAACAGGTGATTGTTATTGTATGATGAAGTATAATGTTACTATTTTGATGGCAGTGATAATAAACTGCACACTTTCCAGTTAATTAGTTTTTAAAATGGCAATAATAACAACAATAATATTGTTATTTTAACAGTCACAAAAGTTTATTAAATATTTAAATCAAAAAAAAGTTTCATAATAAATAATTTTAGAAGAGATTCATGAAAATTACTATTACGTCATGGGATTTGATGTTTTAGAAATAAATAAATTTGGGGAACACAATTACCTCATATCACATAATAAAATATGATAAGAGTTACGAGGAACAAATTTAAAAGAGTGGTAAAAATAAAGGTAGTTTATTAATTAACTGCAAGCAAATAATCTTAAATGATCTTTGACATACATTAACACTGCATAGACATGTTGTTAAAAACATTCTATCACTGCGTCTTATAGGCAAATATCCTGTGCTATATTTTCTAATAGCAGCCAATTTATCGCCATACATTCTGTGTGTGAACTCTAATGAGCCTCAAATATCTTGTATATTTAGATTTTATAAACACAATTCTCAATTCAGTGCATTTTTACTCATTTTGATCTAATAAAATATTCCGGATAACATTTATTTGGAATATTTTTGTCTCTTACTCAAGATGAACTGTAACTCAGTATTTTGTTAAACGTAGTATTTCGCATATTTAAAAATCTATTAATTTATATTTTTTTCGGAATAAATACGTTTCTGAGCTTTAGAATAAAATTTTGCACCATTGAGCGATTCAATTAAAATGTAATATTAAATACCAACGTCATTCTTTTTCAATTTTATATTACTTTCAGTTTTGTTTTTTGTAATATTCATTAAGGCTATTAAAAGAAAAACGTTGAAAAATCCAAAAAAAAAATTCCTTAAGGGAAAAATTCAATATTCTTAGCAAAAATATTACGTTCTTGTTGTTTTCTGCTTTCATTTTATATCTTCTAGAATTGAACGTATAATAAATTTAATTAAAGATTTAATGCAGCTTCTAAAAATTATTCTTAAAGCAAAAAAATAGAAAAATTACCTTTAAAATCGCGAAACATTCAGATTGTAAACTTTGGTTAATAAGTTTTCAGTCTCTTTTGATTTCGCATATACAAATTTTATTAACAATTAAATCATATTCTTTATTAAATCACATCTAGCTAGAAACCATGTTTAATTACTAATAAGGCTGTATACGTTCTCGTACAACTCATAAAGTTCTCACATAATTACCAAATTGAGGATACGAAGTCGTAACATAGCTAAAGCTGCCCGCTTTTTTAACCAATTCATGTCTTTTTTTTCTGCTTAGGGGACCAGCCCGTCTAGCCCTTCTCAATCTTCTCTTTTAGATTCTCTTACCGACTACATAAGTACTATATCTAGGCGTCTGTTAAAATTTCAGCCGTGGTCACAATCACAATGCTCCTTCCCGAAACATTTCAGTCGTAAAGCAGCTATCATGTCGGATTTATACAATACCTTGTCCCTTTCCACACAAAGAAGAATAGACGTCAGTGTCTGTTTTGTTTTTTCTCTTCAAATGGTTGGTTTATGCATAGCACATCAAGTAAAAAGATCAAGTTCGGACGGCCTAAAGTGGACAACTTATCGCCCAGTTTTGGTTAAACGAAATTGGCAAGGTTAATGTATTTTTCTTATTATTCGGCTTTCTGTCGAATTTCTGTATAATTGGAACCGCATATTCGCAATGTTTTAAGGTGCAAAGATTAAGGAATATCATAGCTGAATTATACCATGCAGCCAAATCAGAGGCTCTATAACGTGGAAATCAGAATTGGCCTACTGTTCACTATTAATGGATACATTTTTTGTCGAATTCACAATATTTAATCTAATGTACTCAACTCTTATGAATAATTTCTCAGTTAATTTTTGATCTCACTTTGTACCCTTTCATTCTTCATTATTTGTTTTCTTTTATTTTTACCGGCAAATTTAAGAAATTAACAGCAAATTTTATGTAATTATATGAACTTATAATATGAACAGAGTAAAGAAGAAAACCTTCAAATCATCTACCCACATTAATTCATTCACACACACACACAGTGTGTTATTATTTGATATACACTTGTTATTTTTAACTTTATTCACAGTAATTATTATTATTGCTATAATCATGTAGGGTAAATTAAATTTTTTTTTTTCCAAGTATTTTATAATATTGTATAATACATGCTTCTTTGAATTTTATTTAATTTTTACCCACCATAAAATAAAATATTATTTTTTCGCTATACTAACTTTTTTATGCTTCATATAGCGAATTTTTTGTTCCATATACCTTTATGATTTTTCTTCTATAAAAATTCAATATATTCTTGTTCATGAAATTGTGAAGAATTCTGAACGAAATAGTGAAATAAATGTTAAAAAGATGTGGTCAATACGTAACCGAACACATTAATATATTCGAAATTGAAAAATTTGCTTGCAAGAATCTGGCTAACCCAATAAAACACCAAGGAACTTTATTGAAAAAAATCGGGCTTTCAAGGAATGTAATTGAAATAAAAATTTCGGAGAAGCCCTCCTATTATTTTATATTTAACGTAGGAATTATAAGATGCGGTAGTTATCGGGAAAACAATATGTAGCTAGTAGCCAACTGGATTTCGAACAAATAAGCGTAAGAATAATCTTCACTCTTAATAATTCTTAATATGTACAATAAATGGCCAGTCTGCATTCTCGATGCGACAAGAAAATGCTGCTTAAAAATTTAAATACAAGAAGACTACAGGTCACCTAGTATGATTTAGTTGGTAGAGGCTCAAAAAAACTGTATGTATAATTTTGTATCTCAAGCATTAATAAATTAATCACGTTTGCTAGGGAAAACGGTAAAAATTTAATAGATGTACCCGAATTATGTGATAGAAAAGAATACAACAGATCATCTGAATGCCAGACAACCTGAATCCTATTAAAATTTTTGTTACAAGAACGTAATACCGTGCGCGATCACAGTACCTCCCTTTCACAATATTGTATGCAATGTTGTTTGTAAAAGAATCTATTGTTATTTTATATTTTTTTCATTCAACATTAAATTCAAGTTCTAAAAAAAAAATTTTAAATTGAATCGCAAAAAAAAAATTTTGAATGAATAATATT